GTCGAGAAAATGAGTGTCTAGGTGTTCGCCGTCGAGGAAATGAGTGTCTAGGTGATCGCCATCGACTAAGTGGGTGTGTAGGTGTTGTCTACATGTTCGCCATTGAGAAAGTGGGTGCCTAGGTGTTCGCTATTGAGGAAATGGGTGTCTAGGTGTTCGCCGTCGAGAAAACTCGCCATCGAAGAAGTGGGTGTCTAGGTGTTGTCTACATGTTCTTCGTCGAGGAAGTTGGTGTCTAGATGTTCGCCGTCGAGGAAATGAGTTGTCTAGGTGTTCGCCGTCGAGGAAGTGGGTGTCTAGGTGTTCGCCGTCGAGGAATTAGGTGTCTAGGTGTTGTCTATACATTTACATGACACCCTTAATCGGGTTTAATAACATCCGTCCTTATGAAATTAGCCAATCATAGCTGTTCCTCGGAAGAATGGAACGACTGTGATTTGCCAGTTTCCACACGCGACGTCGCGCGCGCCCGTGCGGCACAAAATCGTTCTCGAGGAACTAATAAGGGTGCGTTCACATCTTGACGGAAAAGCAGAAAGCGGAAAAGTAACAGCCAATTAGAACTCGCGCTGGTAGTTTATAATCATTCCTATAAAAGATATCAAGAACTGACGCCAAGTTAAGGGGTTACACCACAGTAGAGAGCGAAAATTTAACATTTTTTTGCGATTTTTTTTTAAGTGGAAGGAAAAGTAAAATGGTAATTCTTTTTAAGGATGTTGTTAAGCATGTTTTTAAGTTTTAAAAAAAATTTTGTTTATTAAAAATTATTATAAAATGGCTGCCCAACAGCCGTTTCTGCGGAACGGTTTTTTTTGGAGGGGCTCCGCGGCACGCAGTAGAAGTGCAGCAAAAATTAGTCTGGAACAAAATAAAAAATTTTTTCTTAAATTACATTAGTATAGCTATAGAAATACGTAGGGAATTTTGAAAATATTCATTTTTGTTAAATTGGCGAGCATTTGAAAAAAAATTTCATTTTACTACCAAAAAAACGGGCATTTATTTGTACCTAAAAATTCGAAATATTAACTTATCGAAAATCGGCTACGTATTTCTATGCGGAATGTTGTTTTAAAGATGTGATATTAATTTGGAGTGAAAAAATAGAAAATTGTTTGAGTTATGCTGCGTGCCGATTTGAAAAAACGTGTTTCGAGAAAAACGCGTTTAAAGTTTTGACTCGTGTTTCGAACATGATAAAATAAAAAATTTGATTATTAAAAATTGTTTACCTTTAATCTGCTATTCCAGCACCGTAAAGCTGACCTTCCAGGTTGCTAAACTCCTCCTCCTTTTCTTTTCTGGACGCTTTTATGCCAGAGCGAGCCTCTTTTGCTGCGTCCGTCAAAGAGCGCTCCGCGCGTTGTATTCGAGTAGCGTCCGCCTCTAAGCAAAAATTGTAGGATTGTGGTCCAATGTTCATGTCCATCGCTTTCATTATTCTTAAAACGTTTATCAGTCCATCATTAAAATTACAAACAGCAATGTCACTTGCTATTTGTAATATTTTCTTTCCGCTTGAATAATTTTTAGGAGCCAAGTGCCACACTGTAGAATTGAAACTTTCGTTGCTGTTCTGCGTATAGCCTCCCAAGCAACGATTCAGCAACTCGTTACGGCTCAAATCCTCGTAGATTGGTCTAATGGCTTCACTTTGTATATCGATATCGTCAGTATCCACTTTCAATTTCTTTGCCGAAGCGCTGACACCGGCCGAATCTTCCTCCGCTTCATATCTGTTCAACGGTCGTCGTTTCTTCACGTTGCTCCGTCGCCGCGTCTGATACGATATTTTTGAGCCTTTATGGCTTGCATACACTTTCTTTTCACTCATTGTAACTCACATAAATGTCAAGGCTACAAATAACATGTAGCACTGCAAAAGAAAATCGTGATTTCGAATAACTTCCACGCAAAATTTACGTCTTCTCTCAACATCAAAGGACGCTGTACTAACGTACTTTGTGTTCAAAATGCTTGAAAATGTTTCTAATGACATTTATTAGTGTATTAGAGAAGTTAGGAATCGAATGGTAAGACATAATGCTGTACCCGACAAGCAGGTATCGTATTTACCGCAGGTAGTCGTTTCGGAGCAGTCGAGAAAGAGCTCGAAATTTCAATGAAAACGATTTCTGGCAGATATAAAACCGTTTGTCTCTTATTCTAGAGGGTTCAAAGGATTTTTTAAGCCAATAAAAAAAAATCGATTTTTTGAAATTTCTACTGTGGTGTAACCCCTTAAATCCCACTTCTTTACACCATGCCAAATTAAATAAATAATGAATATTAATATAATCTAATGATATATATTATTTATACAAACGATTTGATATCAACAACTGTGGCGGCAAGTTAAATTCTACTATCAAAATAAAAAATAAAATCCAAGTACTATCTTTATTATTTATTTAATTCAAATGGTACTATCTTTATTATAATTTTTATACACAATGAATCCTAAGTATACGTATATCTTATCGTATAAAGATTTGATGTCAACAATTGATGCTAAGTTAAATTCTATCAAGTTAAATTTTATATAGAAGACCGTCGTCTAGATATTTTGATATTAGTATTATAAGACGATGGAGGTGGTGGTGGGATTTTTTAATTGAGTAATAGTAACTTTAATTGTATACAAATTTACCTTTTAAAAAGAAAGGTAAAAAAAGCGCTAAGCATGCGTGCTTCTCGTATGGAAATTACCATTTGGGCCGGTTTCACCAACTTCAATTACTTAATCGGCCGTGGAACTGGTGACTAATTGCGTTTGCTGTTTGATGAAATTCTTTGTATATGATACATTCCAACCCAAGTTATAATGGCTTTATTCCCCTTCAAAAGTTATTACATTAAAATCATTATATCACAAAATTTACTAAATCTAATGATATATGTTTCATCTGTATAAAAGATTTGATATCAACAATTGTGGCGCCAAGTTAAATTCTGTTAATTTAATTAAATTTATCAAAATTTTATGTATTAATCGTAAAAAAGGTTTGATAGCCAAATTAAATAATGAATATTAATCTAATATGTATTATTTGTACAAACGATTTGATATCAACAACTGTGGCGCCAAGTTAAATTCTACTACAAAATAAAAAGTAAAACCTAAGTGATACTATCTTTATTATTTACTTAATCCAAATGGTACTATCTTTAATTTTTATACAATGAAACCTAAGTATACGTATACATTGAAGAATCTTCCTATTCCAATCCAAATGATTTAAATTCCTCTTAAATGAAATTATCATATCACAATTCATTCAAAGACATTTCCTCTTCCAATTAAAGTAGTGGTTATTTAATCACAATTCATTCAAAGATTTTCTCTACCAACTAAAGTAGTGGTTATTTAATTCTCCTTCAAAACATTATACAAAACAT